TAAAATTTAATTCATAAAATAATGAATCAAATTTATTAATTAAAAATTTATTAAATTTTTTCAAATTTAGTTAATAAATTAAAGCTTCCTTTAACAACTTTACTTAAGTATCACTGATGTATGAAAAACACAGTATGTTCAGTTTATATAATTTGGGTTCAAATTTTAATTTCATGTTTTCTCAAGTCTTAATTGAACTTTTCATTCTGGGAGTGGAGGGGGTATGTCAGTTGAGACAGGGTCTTACTATGTGTTTCAGGCCAGTCTCAAACTCATGCTCCTCCTACTTTAGCCTTCCAAGTGCTAGGATCGAAGGCGTGCATTATCACATCCAGTTGAACTTTCATATAGATCAGGCTGACTTCAAACTTTCTATATCATCTAAGATGACCTTAAATTTCATAATCTGTTTCTACCTTCCAAGTGCTGGGATTACAGGAATGTGATACCATGCCAGAGTTTATGTGATGCTGGGATTCAAATCTTTGTGCAAGCATTCTACCAACTGAACCACATCCCTAACTCCACCTATAAACATTCTTAACCTACTCAAGACTAACACCTCTGTGAAGCTATCTTAACTCCTTCAGTTAAACCTTATCTACAATTTAGTGATAATTGTTTGGGCTTGTGGCCCTGCTTATCTGAACTTGATTCCTGGGGGAGAGAACTCCTACTAGCTGTACTCTGACCTCCATACATGCAGTGTGGCATGTTGTGTGCCCACATATATATATACATACACAGAATTTTTTTTAAAGTTTTTCTTATTATATAGTTTAGTAAGGTCAATACAAGGTGTTTTTTTCTTTATTAAGCCATGATCTTTCATCTTTTCACTTAAGGAGGCACTTTACAGACTGTGGCAAGCTGCAAACTTCTGTGCTTTGTGGCCATTAAACAAAATAAGGTTTATTTGAATACAAATACTGCAATAATGCAAATGTAAACTGGTAACAGAAAGGCTGTGAAATGAGGACTGAGAAGGAAGTAAATACAGCATGGATAGTTTGGTCAAAGGGGTGATTTATGTCCTGCCAGTGAAGAGAGCAGGGGGACGGAGCAGAAAGGTCTAAGAATCACCCCTCAGAAAGGCACAGAGTTGGGTTGGGACTGTGGCTCCATGGTGGAGCGCTTGCCTTATTTATACATGCTAGGCCCTAAGTTCAATTTCTAGTATAGGAAGGATGGAAGGTGAAGATGGGCAGACAGGTGCATAGTATAAAACATCTATTTTCTAGAATTTTCCATTTAATATTTTTGGACCACAGTTGATGGCCAGTAAGTAAAACTGGAGGAAGGGCATTACTAGGAAAAGGTAAAAAAAAAACAACAAAAAACCAAAAAAAACCACATCCAAAGTCATGTAATCATGTAATCTGTGACAATAAATTCACCTAATAGGAAATAAGAGCTAAACAGTTTTAAATTGGGAAGTGATCTAGACAATGACCTTGGAAAAATGATCTCTGGAACTTACTGAAAGGACAAATCTATGTGGTACAAAGCTATATTATAACCTTGGATATAAATATAAGAAAGGGTGGATTAGAGAAGTATTTCAAGATGGGATTAATTCTTGAAGGACAGCTAGATGTATGAGGTCAAGGAGAGTCAAAGTGCAAACAAACAGAGGAGAATGTGAAGGTTCTACCTTACATATACTGTACTGTGTCTGTGTCTAGGAAAGCCTCTAAAATAAGTGATACTATACAAGGCGAGAACATAAGAAGGCACAATTCTTGATATCTGCAAGAATCATGATACAGGTTTTGACTCTATTCTACACTAGGCAAGAAGACTTTGCTACAAGAATACACTGGGTCTTGGGATCATTTTGATTTTCCAAACAAAATGAATAGAGCCAATAAAAATTAGATCTCTATTTCTCAAAATGGGCCTTTAGTCAATGAGAAAAATAGAACTTTAGTAATTCCTTTGAGGAGATGAATCAACATGAAACAAACCATGCTCTGATAGACAGGAACAAAAAGACACAACACTATAAGACTGAGCCTTACCCCTAAGAGGGTACCAATGAAGTGTATATCTAACTTGGGCTCCATCTCCCACATCTAAATGAGGAGTTAAGATGGCATCCCTGGAACTTTAAGCATTATGTGCATGGCCAAATACAAGGATTTAAACACCTAGCCTTGGGTTAAGTGTATAACAGAAAGAACAGACCATAGGTCTAGAAGTAAACAATCTGGGTCAACAAGCACTTGCTTTGAAGGCCTGATGATCTGAGTTCAACACCCAGAACTTACCCCGAAAGGAGAGCACTGACTTCTGAAAGTTGTCCTCTGACTGCCACACATATACTGTGGCACGTGCACATACATCCACAAGTGTATGTGCGCGCGTGCACACACACACACACACACACACACACACAGACACACACATTCATAATAATAAATAAATTTTTAAAAATCCTTTTAATGGTCAAGTTGTAACTTCTTCAATAGGATCAGTTTATAAAGCAAAAGTTAAAAATCATCCTTGAGGGCTTGTCAGATGGGTCAGTGAATAAAGTGCTTGCTGCCAAGCCTGAGGACCTGAGTTCAATCCCTAGGACCCATGGTGTTGTCCTCCAACCTCTAGATGTCCTCCCCCTCCTGCATATAAATGTTAAAGACCATTGAGTTAGGCGTGATAGTAACATTTGGGAGGTGGAGGCAGGAGAATCAAGATCCTGTTTAAGGTCAGCCTGTGACATAGTAAGACCAGCCTCAGTTACACAAAACTCTGTCCTAAAAACTAAAACAGAACAAGACATTATCCTTGGACTGGGGGATGTAGCTCAAACAAAAACCCCAAAGTAGCCAGGCATGGTGGTGCAAACCTTTAATCCCAGCACTCGGAGGGCAGAGGCAGAAAGATCTCTGTGAGATCAAGGCCTGCCTGGTCTACATAGTGAATTCCAGGCCAACTGTGGCTACAGGGAGACCCTGCCTCAGAAAAAAAACAAAATGAAACAAAACAAAAAACAAAGCCCAAAGCAAACCCAACTTTGAAAATCTGTGAAGGAAAAACAACTTAAAACTGAACTATTGCTTCCCAACATATAGCACACCTCTTCTAGCACTGGATCAAGTGGGTTTTTAAAACTTTTTCCTGTAGCATCACAGGAAGCTGTCAGTCTGTCCTTGGAGAAGATCTATGAACAATACTTTAAAATGCTAGAATAACTTAGTACACAGTGAAGGCCTGTGGGATCTGAGTATAACTAAGAGGCACCAATGATCCAGGATTCTAATTTCAACCTCATTTCCAAAGAATACCTTCATTTAAAATAGTCAAAGAGTTTAGACACATTAAACTGTGATACTTTCTCACTCCCCATTTTGCTTAGCATAAAGAATTTAAGTTATGAAATAACTCCATAGTACTCCACATGTTCAAATCATCAGTTAAAGAATATACCAATTAATCAATTACTTTTAATAATGGCTCACTAGTAAGATTTAAAAAAATGAGTTTACAAACCTTTTTCCTTTATCTAAATTAATTTCAGCTTCTGTTTCAGAATTATTACCATTTGGCTTATCTCGGGAAGTTATTGTTCTTGCTTTCTCACTTCCCACTACTTTTGCTGCTGCCTTAAAAAAAGGGTAAGAATGGAGGGAAGGGAGAAGAAAGAATGCATTAAGTCATTTTAAAGAAATAGCATTAAGTCTTAGTTTTTTGATAATTGCAGCAGAAGAATTTGTTCACAGGCCAACAAAGGTACCAAATTATTTTCACCAATAATTATGACAATACTGGCAACTACATTTCCTACCAGCTTGGTTCACAGGTATTATGGAAGGAGTTTTCTTTTTTTTCATTTTATGAGTAAGAGTTATTGCCTACATCTAAGTGCACCTGGGTTGTACAATGTCCACAAAGGTCAGAAGATATCAGATTCCCTGGAACTGGAGTTACAGATGGTTGTTAGCTGCCATGTGGGTGCTGGGAATCAAATCTGAGTCCTCTAAGAGCAATCAATGCTCATAACCATTGAGCCATCGCTCCAGCCCCAGAATTTTCTTTTGTATATACATTTGATATATACAATATTCTCTAGGTAATTTTAAGATGAAAGTTTATTTTAAAAAATCTTATTATTTTTAAATTTTACGTGTATGAGTGTTTTTGCCAGCATGTACGTAAACCACACCATGTCATGCAATGCCTGTGGAGGTCAGAAGAGGGTATCAGATCCCCTGGAACCGGAGTTACAGACAGTTGTTAGCAGCCATGTGGGTGCTGGCAACTGAACTCAGGTACTTTATAAGAGCAGTCAGTGCTCTTAACCCAAGCCATCTCTCTAGCCCCGATAAAAAGATACTTCTTTTCAATAGACATTTTTTATTAAATTTTTGTGGATTTCATACATCTTAATCATATTTAGACCCCCTCCCCATTTATACCCTCCCATAGCCCACCCACTGGATTTCATGCAACTACTATTTGTGTTAAGGCTTACCTAATCAAGTTTGTGTACCCAGATGTTTCCAGGTGTGAGTTCATCCACGAGAGCCTGTTCAGCCTATCTAGCATCACTGCCTCATTAAAGAAGATCACCTCTCCCTCACCCAGCAGTGATTAGCTGCCAATAGTTCCTTGGCTAAGGTTGGAACCTCCTGTTCATTTTTCCAGTTCTATCCTGGTCTTAAACTGAGTTTGCATGGATTTTGTGCATGCTGTCACCATTGCTGTATTAAAGAAAAAAAAAAAATACTAGGGGGCTAGAGAGATGACTCAGTGGTTAAAAGTACTTGTTGCTTTCCCAAAGTACCCAAGTCTGCTTCCTAGCACCCACATCAGGCAACTCACAACTACCTGTAACCCAAGCTCCAGGGAATCTAATGCTCTCTTCTGGCCTCGGTAGGCAGCTGCACACACGTGGCAGCATTCACACAAACACACACATGTACATATAAAATAAAAATAATAAATCTTTAAATGAATGTAGGAGGCTAGAGAAATGGCTCAGTGGTTAAGAGCACTTGCTGCTCTTCCAGAAGACCAGAGTTCAGTTCCCAGCACCCACATCAAGTGGCTCACAACAGTCTGTTACTCCAGCTCCAGGGGGCATCCAATGCCTTCAAGCCTTTGTGGGTACCCACCTGCATGTATACATACTCAAATGTGGAAATGACTTTTTCCTAACCTGGCAACCAAGTTAATCTTATGTTTAGAGATCACTTTACCATTCAGCTGGTTTACAATGTAAACAAGCTTACTAGGCCTTGGGCTCCTCTTGTTACCCAAATATGTAGCTGTAATCCTTCATGAGTCTTCCTTGCCCTTGATCCAGAATAGTATGAATATGTTGCTACAATCCATGGAAAGCAATTGTCACAGATATACATACTTCTAAGAATTTTGAAATAAAATCACCTCAAATTAATGAAGACCTTCCACTTTAATAAGATATTAACTTAAAATTCTGATTAGTTTTTAAAATTTTCCCTTTCCAGTACTCTCCTTTTATTCTAGCAATTTCTCTTAGGTCTACTGTTAGACTGTCCTTGAAATACTATGTATACCATGTCCATGTATACCTTCATTAGAAAGGTTGACGATTTTTCATTTACCACAAAATTCACGTAACTCTTGACTTTTTCCATCATGTGGTTATAGCTGAAGTGTTGAAAAAAGGAGTGGAATGCATCTTTCTGAGAGATTATCATTAGCAATTTCCTTTCTAAAGACTAAAGAAAAACAGAAACATATTAATATAATGTATATAAACAGAAATATATTAATATAAACACAAATTTCAAATAAATGATTGAAAAACAAACTCAGATAAAATTAAGAGGGTTTTTTTTTTTTGAGACTGCGTCTATGTGTACTGTACGTGTGCTCATCCATGTTCACGTGTGTAGATGGCCAGATCAACGTCAAGTGTCTTCCTCTATCAATCTCCAGCTTATGGTTTTGGACAGGATCTCTCACTGAACTGGGGGTTCATTGAATGTTAGACTGGCTTGTCAGAAAACTCCCGGGATTCTCCTTCTTTTTGCTTCTCACCCCTAGGATTATAGAAACCAGCCACCATGCCTGGCTTTTTATGTAGGTGCTTTGCACAGCAAGAACTCTACTCACTAAGTCACCTCTGTAGCCTTGTGTCTTTAATCTTCCATAAATAGCATAATTTGCATAAATTGTATTCTTTTGACACTTGCTACATTTTCCTTAATTCTACATTTATGTCAACTACCTATGTTAATGTGGTATTTGTAAAAAAAGTTATTGCACCATTGTATAATACTATATTGATCGAACATCATTTATTCATTCAGCTGATTGGATAATTTAGGCTCTTTGCTATTACTATAGTGCGCAAACATTTTTCTATTCATTTTTTTTATTATTTTCATTTTATGTGTATGAATACATTGCCTTCATGTGTGTAAGTGCACCTGTGTCATGCAATGCCCGAGGAGGTCAGAAGAGGGCATCAGATTCCCTTGGAACTGGAGTTACAGATGGTTGTTAGCTGTCATGTGGGTAAAGGGACTCGAACCCGGGTCCTCTGTGACAGCAGTCAGTACTCTTAGCAGAGCCATCTCTCTAGCCTCCTATTCATTTTCTTGTACACAATGCAAGTTCTTCTTGCACAATAGTTGTCTCAATGCTGGATAAACAAAAGAACTTTAAAAAAACTGAAGGCTTGATCTAGACTGTCTCAGTTAAGACTTGAGTTTTCCCTTTTTGTCTTTAGTTTCATGGCTTTTAAATGTGCAGCAAACATGAAAACAGTTACTCACATTATTTTGATAAAATTCTCTTTAAAGTACCAATTTACACTTGAGAGAGGAATATATGCAGGCAGTCTAAGTACTTTTTTATCTTTTAAGCCAATTGTTGGTATCCTAAGACATTCTCATTGCTGCCAGTCTGAGAGTATGGGAAATAATTATTTCAATGTTTTAGCTGGAAACATCCCAATGATTAATACTAGGGAAGTTAAATATTTTCTCCGAGGAGGTCAGTGTTTGTGGGCCCTAAGTTTGTGGGCCCTAAGTTTTCCTCTTTTATAAGATAGAAGCAGAATAGTTTCCAATAGTCTAGTAATACTAAGGAGAAAATATATGGCAAGTAACCCAATAAGCATATCAGGCTACTAGCTGAAATTTCTGAAGGATTATACGCTAAGAGCATGGTCAAATAAGAGACAGACAATGCCTTATCTAAATCATAACCTACTCAATTAGGCTAAGACAGGTAATAAACCAGTCACCCCCAACTCTATCTACTAGCATGTCAAAAAGCATTCTGCCTTCACTAGTCACCAGGCAACTTAAAGCTCAGCACGATAACATTATGTGTCTATGAGGATAAAGGAAACGAAAACCACAGGTACAGCAATTGGAACTATGCAGCAACTGGAACTCTCCCACACTAGTGGAAGAATTGCTGTAAGTACTTTGGAAAACTATTTGGCAGTACTATTAAAACTAAATTCATGTCACTTGAAAAATAAATAGCAAATAAACACAACAAATGAGTAAGTCTATCTTAAGACTCAAGAATTCTACTCATAAGTATATACTGAACAAAAATACATCCACTTGTCCCACAAAAGACATGTTAAATTATATTACAAAGAAGAAGGAAATAGCTTAAATGACAGGCACAAATGGATACTTGCGCAATGAAAATGAATAAACATCACAAGGACATCATGGATCAATTTTATAACCATAAACTTGCACACGATTTTACTATAAAAAGTTCAAAAACAAGTATAACAAGTCGTTGGTAGTTGAAAGCTGGGTAGCAATTACCCCTGAGAAGACAACCACTTTCTCAAGAGACTAGAGAATCTTGATAAGGGTCTAACTTTTTTATTTTTTGGCTGATGCTGGTTTTTGAGAAACCATCTTACATAGAACTTACTAGCCAAGCTAGTTTCACTGTAAGGCTATTCCTGCTTCAGTGCCCAAGTACCAGGATTAGAGATGTTTACCACCAAGCCTGGCTGATCTTTTTTGACAGTGCTGAAGACTGAATCCAGGACCTTGTACACATTATAATGCTACCACAGAGCTAGAAAACAAGCTAGGTTCTCTTTCTTGCTAGCTCCTCACACAACTGTTCTTTGTGTAAACACCTTACTTATACACTTATGTTCTCTTCCAGGTATACCCATTCAATAAAAAAGTTCACTAAAAACTTAAGATTGTCTTATCTTTCTTCAAACATGTTTAATTCACCCCAATAATATTGTTTTTAATATTAAAAAGCCCAGAACTATTGACTTGAATATTATACACAGATACAAATTATAAATGATCACAGAAGAAACTCTAGCTGGGTATGGTGGCACAATTTGGAGATCCTGTCTCAAAAAGAAAAAAATAGACTATAGAAAGTAGTGGGGGACTAGGTCTGTTAGTATGTGCCTATAATCCAGTATTATAGAGGTAGGGGCAAAATATCTTGAATTTTGAGGGCAAGTTGGGACAAATTACCAGACTTTATCTCAGCACTACAACAAAGAAATAAATACAAGAGGAGGAGGGACTCTAGAAAAATAAGCAAAATGTAATGACCCTCTATACCTATGCTGTCCAATGTGGTAGCCACTAATTCCATTTATAGCTGCTGAGCCCTTGAAATATGATGACTATCAAGTTGGACACACTGTAAATATAAAGCATACACCATTTTTCAAAGACTTGACAGAAAAAAAAGGGTGTGTAAAATACCTCAACTTTTGTATTGTTACAATTATTTTTTAATACAGTGAGTTAGGTAAAGCATTCCTTTTCTTCTTCAGTTTTCTTACAGCTTTTCTCATCCTATCTAAACAATTCTAAAATTCTATGGTTTAATTTAAACAATTACCGTGTAAGAATCTGGATCACCAAATACTCTTTTAAACACATCTTCTGCTTCCTTGAAACTGCCATTTTCCATACAAACAGCTACAGCCTTAAAGATAAGATGACAAATACATACCTTAGGTAGCTTATTAAGATATTCAATCATTGCTTAATTGACATAATCAGACAAGTTGAAATATTTCATTTAGGACATTTTTATGCAGCTTTATTTGATAAAGATATGAAGCAGTTGTTCGGAGATGAAATAACTGTGGTTTAAAAAACAAAAATTTTTCACTAATTCTGTGCATGTTTACAAGTAAATAAATGTTCAGCATATCTAAACAGGCATTAATAAAGTAGAAGCTAATTCATGCACTGCATAGCACGCTGAACCTCTTGATGCTTGTTTCCATATATTTTGAATGGTGGAAACAATGCACCTACTTCACAGAACTATTACAAGGATGTGAGCTACATGTGATAACGCTTAGAACACTGCCAGCAAAAGTAAACAACATACTACATGTTACTGTCACCCTCTCAACTTTATGGTAGTATAGTAAAATAAAGGTCAGCTTTCTTTAGCCTTCTCAAAGATTGGGAAAACATGAAAAATGTCTTTGTTCTGAGATGAATTCTTACAAAAAGAAAGCAGTAATTTTTCTGACCATCATCTTCTTCTTTTTGGGTCCTAATTTCATTTGACAATCACTACATTAAATATGAGGGAAGTAGGAAACCACCTTGGGTTTTTCTCTCTTGTACAACCTAAGAAAAGAATGACAAAACTTCTATAAAAAAATGAAGAAAAAACCTATTTAACTAAGAAAGCACCTAGTATTTGCTTTGACTACTAGCAAAACATATTTTCTCTGCAGTTACGTTATTTTCATGGTTTCTTATCCTTAATGTCTATTAAAATTCCCTTAGCATGGTTAAAATTATATGTACTCTTGCTCATAAAAATCCATGCATGGCATGTGAGGCCTGGGGTTCAATCCCTAGAATCACCACCCACCCCCAAAAAGTAAGAAAACCATAAACATCTACTTTTTTTCATATTCACCATCCTTAGATAAAAAAGGAGAGAGTATGAGTTCCTAGGTGTTGAAGTTTGCTTGGTAATTTTTAAATAGATGCAGCATTTCTGTAACATGGGGACAACATGTACCTAGTATGGAATATTAAGTTCTGGGCCTTAGGATTCAAGTGAAGATTATAAACGAAGGGTCAAATTTTGAAATGAAAAGATTTGATTAAATTTTTCCCTAGGTTTACTGTCCAGCTTCTGTTAGGTTCCCCTTACTTTGAACGTTAAATGTTTTCAAATTTGCCACAGTCTTCACTGTCAACCTGACTAGACTTAGAAGCACCTAGGAGACACACCAAGAGGTATGTCTACAAAGACACTCCAGAAACGTTTAACTGAGGAGTTCCCACCCCGAATTTGGGCAGCACCAATCCATGGGCCAAGTCATGGACTGAAGACAAAGGAGGAAGGGAGTGAACTCTAACATTCATCCCTCTCTGCTTCCTGACTGTGGGCACAAAGTGCCCAACAACTTCACTTTCTTGTTGCCATGCCTCCTCTGCCATGACAGACTGCATCCCTCATACTATAAGCCAAAATAAACCCTTCCTCAAGTTACTTTTTTCTTTTTTTCATAAAGATTTGTTTTGGGGGGGCCAGGCGCTGGGGGACTGGAGAGATGGCTCAGCAGTTAAGAGTGCTGGTTGTTCTTGCAGAGGACCCAGGTTCGATTCTCAACACGCACATGACAGCTAACAACCATCTGTAACTCCAATTCCAGGGAATCTGACATGTTCTGACCTCCACGGGCATTTCATGACATGGGTGCACGTACATGTAAGCAATATATTCATACACATAAAATTAAAATAATAAAATAATGGAAAAAAGATTCATTTTTAATTACATCTGTGTTTATATGTATACACAAATGTGCAGGTGCCTGAAGAGGCTAGAAGAGGGTGTCAGATTCTTTGGAACTGGAGTTACAGGCTGTTGTGAGCCTCCCAACATGGACGCTGGGAACCAAACTTGGTTCCTCTGAAAGAGCAGCATGTACTCTTAATAGTTAGCCATCTCTAGCTCCTCAAGTTTCTTCCTCTCAGATATTCTGTCACATCAATAAGAAAAGCAAATGATACAAAAGTCCAGCAAAACAATAAAGACAAAATAGTGCTCATACCTGAATTTTAATTAAATTCTGTATTTCTTCATGAAGTTTATCATGCTCCTTTTCAATTGAAGCCCAAATCATCAGGGCTGATTCCAAAGGTGTAATACGTTCATCACTTTCAAACTGTGCATCTTTTAAAAAGCAGAAAAATAAGTTAACTTAGAAAGTCAAGTAGAATCTTGAAAACTGGATTCCTTTTCAAATTTCTGAAGCTTATGCTACATGCCAGGCACTATTTTCATACATGAACAGTTCAGGTAAAAGATGAAACTATAAAATAGCTTGAAACTTTTTATTTATTTTTTTCAGATAGGGTCTTGCTATGTAGCCCAGGCTGGCCTGAAACTCTAAATCTTCCTGCCTTGGCCTTTACAGTGCTGAGATATAGATATACTTTTATGCCTGACTGCCATTTTAAGTGTCTTTAAGGCAAAAGTCCTTTTATTTGATAATGCACAATAATTATATTTTAAATTTGGGAGACAGGAGCCACTTACTAGCTATATTCTTTTAAAGCTCCTGTTTTCTAGCTATTTTAATTTATTCTACAGCTACTATGCAACAAATGAATATAATCAAGAAAATTTTAAGCTGAGTGTAGTTTCACAACTAACAATTTTAAATAGCATATCCTTTTCGCATCTTGAAAAACTCAATTGAACATACAGTGTAAATATTAGTAGTTTCAAGTATTTTTATTTTCAGTTGGCCCCTTTTGGTTTTCTTAACATTTTAGATTAAAAAAACTCATTCATTTATAATCCAAGTTGTGCTGGGTTCTTAAGATACACACAAACAAGAAAAATCACTAGACATGGTAACTCAAATCTATAATCCTAGTACTTCAGAGCCTAGGCAGGAGGATCACTGAGAGTTCAAGGTCAACCTGGGCTACATGGTCAGACTTTATCTCAAATCAATAAATAAAAACAAAAAAGTATTATCTGTCCATGTAGAATTCAAAAATTAACAAATGAAAAAATGTAGAAAAATGAATAGAACTCATGCATTCCTTGAAACACATTATTATGCCTTTGTTCTACCCCAGAATCATACAGACATTTTAAAAACTATGGTTGAGTAGGTACACTCTCAGGACGGAGACTGTTTAAGCTCTAGAGATAGTGTATTTGAAGAATAGGGCCTGGTGATGCTGCTTAGTGGTAGAACTGAGCACATTACCCGGCACACACAAAGCCTAGCAGTAAGAAAAAACAATCAAGAAAAACAACAGAAAGGATAAACAAAAAATAACCAAGTAACAAGGACAAGGAAAGGAAGGAAAACATATAGGAAAGATGAGGTAGAAGGTAAGGCAAAGGTACACAAAAGATATTCCAATTGATTACTAAATGTAGTCAGGCACTGTGCTATTACCCTTGTTTTCTTAAGTAGGACTAGAAACCTAGAGAGGTCACATAGCTAGAAAGTGGTAGAAGCAGATAGGAGGACATTTAAAAACCACTTAACTGTGTGTCTTTTAAAAAAAGTTGATCTTAGTAGATGGCATGATCCTGCACTCAAAAGACCCCAATAGCTCCACTAGAAAACCCATAGGTTTGATAAAAATCTTTGGTAAAATAGCAGGATATAAAAATCAAAATGGGGGGCTGGAGAGATGGCTCAGGTTAGGAGTACTGGTTGTTCTTGCAGAAGACCCAGGTTTGATTCTCAGCACCCACAACTGTCCATAATTCCAGTTCCAGGGGGTCCAACACCCTCTTCTGATCTCCACAGGGACTGTATGACATGGGCACACTTACACACATGTAGGCAACACACATGCATTTAAAAAAAAATCAAAATGCAAAAATCAAGGGCTGGAAAGAAGGCTCAGTGATTAAGAGTACTGGTTGCTCTTGCAGAAGACCTGGGTTCAGTTCCCAGCATCCACATGGCAGCTAACAACTGTCAGTGACCCCAGATCTGTGGGATATGACACTCTCTTCTGGCCTCCAGACACTGTACGACATGGGTGCTTTTATATACAAAACACTCATACACATAAAGACCCAAGAACTATCATGCACAATAGCCTCAAAATAGAATAAAAGACCTAAGAATAAACCTAACCAACAATGCAAAAGATTTGTGTAATGAAAATTTTCAGGCACTGAAGAAACTGAAGACACTTGAAGATGAAAAGACTTCCCATACTCATGGATTGGCAGAATACTGTAAAAATGGCTCTTTCTGAAAGTAATTAACAGATTCAATAAAATCCATCAAAATTCCAATTATATGTTTTACAGAACTAGAAACAAAATCCTAAAATTCATATGAAAACACAAAAGACACCAAATAGCCAAAACAATCCTAACCAGAAGAACAATGATACAGGCATCACAATACCAGATCTCAGGCAATATTACAGAGCCACCGTAACAAAAATCGTGTGCTACTGGTTCAGAAATGACATGCAGACCAATGGAACAGGATGGAGTACCCAGAAATAAACCCACAGGTACAGCTACCTAATTTTCAACAAAGATCAAAAACACACATTGAAGAAAAGGCAGCATCTTCAACTAACAGTGTAGGGAGACAATACTTGTACAAAGATGAAACTAGACCTGTAACTCTTATTCTGCCCTCAAATCAATTCCAAATGTATTAAAAATCTTAATCTAAGTCTTGAAATCTTGAAACTGCTCATGGATGCCGGCATGGTGGTGCATGCCTTTAATCCCAGCACTTGGGTGGCAGAGGCAGGTGATCTCTGAGAGTTCAAGGTCAGTCTAGTCTACATAGTGAGTTCCAGGCCAGCTGGGGCTACAGGCAGACCCTGTCTCAAAAAGACCAAAAACAAAACAAAAAAATCCCTGCTAACGGAAAACATAGACAAAACACCATGAGATACAGACATAGGCAAGCACTTTCTTAAAAAGACTTTTATAGGAAATAACTCCCCAAATAGGGGATAACATGAAATTAGAAAGTTTCTGCACACCAAAGGAAACAATCACCAGAGTGGAATACAGCCCATAGAATGGAAAAAAAAAAAATCTTTGCCCACTTTCATCAGACAGAGGATACATAAAGAACTGCAAAAATTAAATATTAAGAAAAAAATCACCCAATCAAATAGAAAATGTACTGAAGAGATCTCATAATGTAGCTAAATGGAATATTTAAGGAAAATATATATTTTAATCCTTGTTTTCTCCCTGTTTTTGTCAGCCAATTTCAGCTGACAAGTTTGTGGTTAGAACAATAACACAGCTAGCTACAACCATTGGCCTTGTGTTCTGATGAAACTTTCTCAATTCTGTCTCAGATGGAGACTTCTGAAATGATTTTCAGACATAAGATTTTTTTAAACATTTGTTTTCTTTCTGAATTTATAATAATTTGCCTGATTTGAGGCTGTGTGTAAATATTTCTCACTAACTCACTGCCTAAGGTATAAAAGATGAATGCTTCCTCTTTTCAGGGTCCTCTGGCCTGGTATTGTCTTCTCTGTCCTGCAACACTTAAAGGAAGAAATACAAATGGCCAATACATTTGGAAGTGTTCAACATACGATCCAGTTCTATCAGTCCTGGGTCTATAGCTGAAGGACAACTTCAGTCAACATACTACAGAGACACTGGCACGTCCTCAGCTAAGAGATGGAAACAGTCTAGGTGTCAAAGAGATGGTTCAGTGAGTAAAGGTGCTTGTTCCCAAGCCTGATGACCTGAGCTTGATCCCCAAGACCTACATGGTAGAAGGAGAAAACCAACTCCTACAAGCTGTCCTCTGACCTCCACAGGAAGCCATGGCATGCATTCAAGCACATGTATATACATGCACACAAAATAAAGATGAAAAACAACAACGAAGAAATGAAACTAGCCTACATAACCATGACTAGATGAATGGATAAAGAAAATGTGGTACATATACACAGTGAAAATTTTGTAGCCATACAGAAAAATGCAATTTCCCCTGCAGCCTGAACACCTCCAATCTATACACCCCCACTGTGCCCCCTGGCTAGCCTTGGTCCAGCCTGGCTCCAATACCTTTGCCTCTGATCTCTGGACTAGCTTCCTAACCCAGACTAACTAAATCCTCTCGCATAGTTTGTTAAGACCCTCCACAGGCAGTCCCCTGGGCTCCTGATCTGCCTGACACAAACTGGTCCTCCTAAGACCTTGACAAGTATACCACACACCACCCATCAAAGAAGCTTCGTTTTGCAACTGATGGAACTACAAAGTTCTAAAACTGGTCACATAGAGACTATACGTCTGAGATGCCAGTCCCAGGGGACATATCTACAGTGGAACTTCTACACCCAAGGTTCATGGAATATAGCAGAACAGGGGGTGGAAAGAATACTAGTGCACCCTTCAACTCTCATCAGTAAACCTTCCTTATACAACAGAGTGCAGTGCATACAGAAGGCCACAACTGGCTAAGTTTTAGAGAATAAGAAACTGCAGTGTGTGTGTCCTGGATAGGACTCCTATATTAAACCTCACCCACCCACAGCTCAGGGACCATGGCAGAAGAGTGGGGCAGAAAGGTTGTAAGAGTCAGGGTTGATCCATGAACATAGGGAAACAGAGGCTTTCTCAGGCCACTGGAAGCTTGGACATGTAAACTTGGGGCAATGGTGGCATAGAGCATAAGATCCATGCATACTCAATCAGACAGGGCCCAAAGTGGAGTGAGGGAAATGGGCAGTGGGCTGGCCCTAGCCAGGGAACTGTTAGAGACTGATTACTGCTAGGTGAGGGAGCGTACACCTTACTTACAATCTCTAGATAGGCTAACTAGACTCCTATGAACTTGTACCAAAGGACATCTGGTCACAAATGATTGACTGGATAGGACTTAAGAGTATCACGGAATGTATGGGGTCTGGTGTGTGTGTGTGAGAGAGAGTCTGTGGGGGCAGGGATGGGGGAGAGGGTCTAAATTTGATTAGGAACTACTTTTTATGAAATGTATAAAAACTCAGTAAGAAATAGAAAAAAAAGAAAAAGAAAAACAAAATCATGACATTTTCAAGAAAATGGATACAATTAGATATCATACATTAGGCCAAATAAACCAGAGTTAGAAACACAAATACATGTTTCCTTTCTTTTGTGGGCTCTAGATTTGAGAGAGAGAGAGAGAGAGAGAGAGAGAGAGAGAGAGAGAGAGAGAGAGAGAGGAGAGGTATAGGTCTTGAAAACAGAAAGGTGACTGTGAGAGGGAAGAAGTTCGTTTTTTGTCTGAGTCAGGTCTTACTATGTAGTTCTTGCTGGCTATAAGACCAGGTTGGCCTCAAACTCAGAGATCTACCTACACCTACTAAAGACATCTACCACCACATCTGGTCAGGAGGAAGAGATCTTAAGGGGGAGGAAAAAAAAGTAATGGAATACATGTGACATGGAAGCAGAAGGTGGAGCTATTCAGAGGGAAGAAGACAGGCAAAAGGGGGTGGGAGATAGGGGAAGGCAGCGGGGGAGGAGAAAGCAGAACAAAGTATAATGGTATCTATGTATGAAAATGCCATCCTGAAATCTATTATTCCATATGCTTACAAAATATTTTAAGTGATTGGGGGTAGGGGGGTGATACAAACAAAACATGATCTAGGCTGCATAAATTCCTTACCCCATACGATGTTAGCACAATCTGGATTCTCTACCATGTATTGGAATTATTGTGTATACTGTTTTTCATAGAGTTTTAGAACTTGTAGTTTGACTCAGAGCCACACGTGGTCCACAGTAGTATTCACTGTTGGACAGTGAGTAGTCTTGTAGAATGTGCACTGTTTGGTGCCAAATGTTAAGTGTAACCTTCCTTTGGTGTAGCCTTAGTTTTTTCACATTGCCCCTTACAGTTGTTATTAATCTGTCCAGAATTCAAACAATGCCATCATCACCATCAGCATCAAAATGCATTTCAGAATTAACAAGAAGGTGGTATGGCTAGAATACATGGTATAAAGGAATGAGATCAAAATGCAAAGGTAGTGCTGGGAAGCTCAGCTGTAGAGTGTTAAGCCTGGTTCTACTCCCAGCCCTACAAAAAAGAAAACTAGGAAAACACACGCACACACGCACACACGCACACACGACACGCACGCACGCACAAAGAAAAAGGAAGAAACCAAAACCAAAGAAACTACTTAACCTTTCTTATTCATTCTTCATTTGCTTGTGCCGTGTTCTAGTGTGTGTGTGTGTGTGTGTGTGTGTGTGTGTGTGTGTACTTGTGAGGCACACATGCGTTTGTGCCTGTGGAGGTCAGAGGTGGACACCAGTATATTTCTCAATCATTACCTTATTTTTTGAGACAGGGTCTCTCACTGAACCTGGCACTACAGTCTACAGTGGCCACCAGTTTTTAGCTGAGTCCTGGGACTCCAAATCAGGTCCTCATGCTTTTGTGGCAAGCATTTTACTTATTGAGCCATTTCTCATCTTTCTAAAATTTACTTCAATATTTGTATTTCCTAATATGCATCTTTACTTTTTTGTTTTATTTGAGGCATAGTCTCACTCTCTAGCCCTGGCTGGCCTGGAAATTGGCAGTAATTCTGTTTCAGCTTCCCAAGTACTAGGACATAAGAATATTATAGCACAAGGAAAAAAAAGGTAATAAACTGCAAAATCATGTTGCAAAAGACAAGGAACAGGATGGAAGTATGAGAATGAGGCAAGCCAAAGTTCTAAAGAGTCTCTTTAGAGGTGAGCAGATGACTGGTATCTGTTTCCTTCCCTGGGCTTACTGGGATAAGGCAATGGATCTGGTATACTGCAGGCAGCGGTATTTTACTGGGGAAAAGGGAAATAAGAAAAGCTCCTGGTGGTTTCCTTGGCATTGGCTTGGTGGACTGGACTCTAGAGGAATTACAAACATATGATTGGCTTGTCTCCACTGGTCATCTGCTGAATTCTACAGCAGCGTCGGAGGCTCAGAAATTCCTAGTCTCACAGATCTTACTGGCTTGGGAAGCACACACCTATAATCCCTGTACTCAGGAAGCTGAAACAAGGGGAGTGAGACTTCCAGGACAGCTTGAGGTATATATACTTATACAAAAAAAGTCCCACGAGAAGAGAAACCTACCAGACACTAACATTTTCCCTTGAGATATCTGCTGTATTTTAAAGGTACATGGAGTTAAAGCTATATGTCAGCCCCTTACAATCATTCAGCAGTTAAAATGCATCTAGTCCAGACATACTGTAAATACACAATATTAGTCCATATTATTTACTACAAATAATATCTCATCAACATTTTCTATAGATTACTTGACAACTTTTAGAAATATTGGATTATTGAGTTAAATAAAATAGTATTGAAATTAATTCTATTTCTAGTTGTTTTAATTTAAGCATTAGCACATTAAAAATTATAAACATGTTTCACATTTCCATTGGGAAGTGCTACTATACAGCAACCACTAAAAGATTAATATGAAAAGGTTATATATACTGAAAATTCCATATGTAAGTTAGAATGAAATTTTATGGGGATGTAGCTTGGTGGCAGAGCACACGCCTGACAGGTACAAGGTCCTAGGCACAAGGCACTGTAAAAGAACTAAACTACTACATCATTTAAGTCACTTATGATGAAATGCATTGTTTTTTGCTAGCTGATACTAGTTATTTTACCTAGGACAGATATTCAAAAGGCAATCCAGGTGAATTAAAGATAAAGCCACAGGGTCAGGATGGATATGTGGCTCTGGGGTACGGCATCTGCATAATGTGCACAAGGGTCTTGTGTGTAGCCTTAGGGCTACACACAAAATCTTTTTTACCCCTTGTTTTCAAAATAACTTTACTTGGAAAGAGCCCAAGATTTGTGGTAACTATCTTACATAAGCATTGCTTTAGAATATGCTGCCACATCTGATTCATTCAACAATTCAATTAACCACAATGCTTCAAGTTATAGTCTACAATTTTAAAATTATGTCCACATCAGCCTGTTCTTAAACCATAGGCCCTAAACCACACAGTCCTCTCCTGCAGTTATTTTATCCCTGTTGTATAGCAGTTTCCTCCCAACTGGAACATTCAGGTGAAGTAAACAACTCAAAAGTCTCAGGTCCTCCCTGAAACTTAGCTGATGCACAAGGTCCTTCCCTCTCCAAAGTTAAATAAGCAGTAAGGTCTACTGAGGAGAGGAGACTCTCCAACCAATTGAGCTGCCTACAAATGGTGCAAAGATCCGCAGGGTTCTAGCTTTTGTGAGCTGTCATCCATCCTGGGGTGAGCTTTCAGTGATGCAGCTACCTTTGAGTTGTTCATGCTCCTGTAAGTAACCACAATAAACTCATTGCTTTACCAACCTGGGTTTTGTTGGTATTGCTACTTTGGTTTGTCATGGAATCCATATGTGGGAAGAGAGTGTAGACACGTGTTTATATCCCCCCAGGAATAATGTCACACCACAAACCTGAACTTCAGTCTCCAAATAAAGCTGGCTACTCGGCTCAGGTATTGTTTTAGTACACTGGAGTGGTACTAATTTTCTGGGATTTTATGTAATACATCTTTATAAACAAGCAGGTTCATATAAGTACTACTCACCACTCAGGATTATTTGGAAAGTATTTTGTAAATTGTGACGGTCTGAATGAGAATGTCCCCCATAGGCTCCAAGTATTTGGGAGGTCTTAGAAGGTCTGGCTATGCTGGAGGAAGAGTTCTTAAGCCTTGTGGGATCTCAAGTTGCTCTCTTGCTTCCTGTGCCTTGAAGAAGTGAGTGCTTAGCTTCCATTCCTCCTCCAGACACCTTTGCCTCAATGCCTTCCCCCCCAGATGGACTGTAATTCCCCTGGAACCGTAAACTCAAATAAACCCTTCCTTCTATAAGGTGCTTTGGTCAGTGTTTCTATCACAGCAACAGAAAAGTAACATACACAAATTATAAAAACCAATATAAAGTATGCATTTATATACTTTACCAAATAACACTTTAAATGACCATGTTGTAATGATCAGCCATTATAATAAACTGAAGATGCTCATTACAATCTAAAATGAACTATGGAAATAAGGGAGATAAATTACAACTATAAACCATGTTTCCTTGTATTAAGTACAGGCACCAACTTTAAATAAAAAGTTTCAAACATAGTTGCCAGTAAATGCATTATGCATATGATAGCTGTCATCACAAAGCTATATAATAAAATTCAAGTGAATAAAATCTTCAGGAGTCTGTGCAGCTCCTGGGAACTCATCAGAAATGCAAATGTCAGGGCTTCACACACATCCTTCCCATATTTGAAATTCATGGTGGTACAAAATGACTTAGCACTTTTTAAAGAAATCCTTTAAATAATTAAGAAGCAGGCTGAAGTTTGAGACCCACTGCTCTAAAAAGATAAACCTGTATTTCTTTGATTTGCTGTAGATGTTTATGTATATATGTATGCCATATGTGTATATGTAGGTTAACTTTCTAGCCTCCAAAAGGAAAAGGAATAAAGACAGCTCCCATCAGTTTCTCAACGTCTTATACTTAGATATAAACTAAAAGACTTCTAATATAAAATAAAATATGTATTTACCAAGGGATTGTCCTGCTGCAAGTCTTGTCAAAAACTGACATATGTACACAGTTCTCAACTGATAAGCTGTAAGACTGGATAGTCCATGAATAATAGCTAAAAAAGAAAAGAATAATAACCTTATTAAATTATTACTTAATCCAGTAGACCCACTATGTAGTTGAAGTATTAGGTTAACACTGAACATAATTAATCATAAATTTAGAGCTGTAGATTTTAATTACTTAATCAATTACAAAAAAAAAACCACAACCAAAAAAAAGAATAGCATTGTAATATACTCTTACAAACCATAATTCAAATGAGAAATATTTAAAAGTGCTTTCACAAGTATCCCTCTATACCAAAGAAAGTTTCATATTTAAATTATGAAAGTATCAAATTACTATGAAACTTATACATAAAATTCTTCATATTATAGAAAATATTATATATATAATTTCTGTCAAGGTTTCCACTGAGTTTGTTTAGTTCAAAGCTATGTATTTTAAAACATCTATTTCTCAAATATTTGAGTACTCATGAAAATGTACCTGGCAGTGAATATGTACACTGGCAAGTTAATTACATCCCTGGATCTCAGTGAGCTAACATCATGCTATTATCAATACCATGGCAATGCTAAATATTACTAAAATAAAAATTCATTAAAAAGCTGAAAAAGACAAATACAGACTGTTATAGAAGCATGCAGCAAGTAAATTTTAGAGTATATTTAAAGATCTTTTAGGGGTAAGGATTGCTTCTCTAAGGAAAGGTCTAAGCTAAAACTTCAAAGTACCTCTATTAACATACTTCACCAAGGGCTCAATTCATGTATATACAATAAAATCACAAATAATTAACAAATGAAAAAATGGTCCTGCAGCTACTAGGCAGAAAAAATAGTTAACTAATTTCTTCAATTCTACAATGGCATAAATTTATTCTTTGACTCAAATTATCTGGACTATGGAGTCAAACCAGTCTTAAATAAGAGAGCACAAGTTTGTATTGTCATTAAATATATACTGAACATCTACTGTTAGTCTGATGGACTCAGAGATAAGACAGCTGGTCCTTGTCCTTGATGAAGGTTTTGGTTGAGAATAAATCTGTTGAAACAAAGTTATGCCAATTACTAATATCTTTTGTTTTTAAAGGGGGACAGGGTCTCATGTAGCCTAGGCTGGCTTTGAACTCACTATGGAGCCCAGGATGACCCTGAACTTCTGACCCTCCCGCTTCTACCTCCTGAGTGCTGGGGATGTACACCACCATGTGTAGTTCTACACAGTGCTGGAGAGCAGACCCAGGCTTTTGTGCATTCCAAGCAATCACTCTTATCAACTGAGCTATATTCTCAACCCCCTAAAATCTTAACAGTATCACAAAATACAGGTAGTCAGCCTTCTGCATCCATACATGAAGATTCGACCAACTGCAGACTTAAAAGTATTTGAAAGAAAAAATTGCATCTATTCAAAATATAGACTTCCTTTCTTTGTTATTATTCCTTTTTATTAGGTGTTCTATATAATCCAGAAGTGATTTAAAGTATATGAGAAGACGGCTCAGGTTATATACAAAAACCAGGCCATTTTATACAAAGGACCCAAGCCTCAGGTTTTTGTAAAAGCAGAGGTGAAAGATAACATCTTTGAACCCCGGGATACCAAGAGAGAACATAAGACTATAGTATCAGACAACCAAAAGATCTTATTCTAGGAAAGAAAGAGCCCTTTGATTTTTACTTCCCTGAATATTGAATTCAGTCTACTCTGCAGCAGTTACAGGAACTTCATACTCCTTTACCATTCTGTTCATAGCACCTGCTAGGTATGCTGCTTTCAAAACAAAATCTACCCACCCAGGGTGAACCAGCTATCTGCTTTTTTTCCCATACTGCTAAAAATAAATTTAAATTTAAAAAAGGATCTAATTAATGGCTGAAAATGATTGCAAAATAATCACAAATGTATCTGAGGCCTAACTATAGGCAAGGCAGTCTGGCATTCTATAACAGTGATTTTCCTCACTGGGTATTTGGCAATGTCTAGGGCCACTTTTGGTTGTCTCCAGAGCAATCCATGCACAGGAGATACTCCCACTCTCATCCTCTTGTAAAAAAATTATATGATCCAAAATGGTGCATCCTTTCTTCTCACATATTAATTCATTTTCTCCTCTTGAAGGTCCTACTTTGGACTTATATTTTATAGGTAAAGAAACCAGGGAACCAAGGGAATAACATTACTTTAGGTGTTACAGCTATAAAGAATAAACCCTGACAACTCTATAGGCCATGGTCGAGCTTTATTTTGTTCTTAAGACAGGGACTCCTTGTGTAAGTCCAGGTTGGCCTCAAACTCACTGTGCAGTCCACATTTGCCTTGAACTGGCCATCTTCTGGCCTCAGCCTCCTAAATGCTGGGATTATAAACCCATGCCACCATACCCATAGTAGTTCATGTTCTTTATCACTATCCAACACTACTACTTGTGGCTAGGATACGCAAATAAAATTCTTAAAATAAATTTAAAAATGAGAGCACAGAGACAATACTACATTCACAATTTACATATAAGAAACTGTTTACTCTTTCTAGAGTTCCTTGCTCTAAAAACAATGGGGACAGTCTTAATTCTTATGACTTGAGTTAGAACCTGGAAAGGAATTTTTCTATCCTTTTAAGAGTACTTTCTAAACTATTTTAAATTGATACAATTATTGTCAAAAGGATGAAGAATCCCATATGCCCTTCAAGTTTCTCCTATTAACATTTTACATTAATATGGTACATGATACATTAATGAACTAATGTTGATATATTAACTAAAACCTACTGCAGTATTAAAGTCTTTTTTCTGTGACAGGACACTACATTACATTTGGCCAACATGTCTCTCTAGACAGTTGAAAGTTAGGAGTTTACTTGGTTATAAAGACTGCATTTTGAGGAGTATTAGGAATTTTACAAAACATTTACTGGGATTTGTTTGATGGTTTTCTCATTAGGTAGGAGTTAAGAGTTTCTGGAAAACCAAAAATAAAATTCTATCTTCATTATAATATTGCAAGTATACATAATACTATCTATCACTATCGATGTTGACTTTGAAAACCCAGGTGACAGTATTTGTTTAGTTTCTCTACTGTAAAGTTATCCTTATTCCCAACTGCCTTTTATTCCACTTTCCACTCTGTACTCTTTGGAAGAAAATCCCTATCTGTGGCCCACATTAACATTTCTCTAAAAAGCTCCGTTTCCTTTACTGGAGAATGGTATTAAGAGACAAGATTTAGTTGTTAGATATATTTGTAACCAGGGTTAAGTTGCTTCTGTACCCTTTCATCTAGCAGAGAACCCATGTCTATGATGGACACATACAATTTGTGTGCAGATGTATACATGTATGCACAGGGAAGAGGACAACCTCTGGTCTCAGTCTTCAGGCACTGGATTTTTTTTTTTTTTGAAACAAGGACTCCCACTTGTTTGGAGCTTGCCAAGTAGACTACGCTGGCTAGCCAGTGAGTCATAGAGAGTCACCTATCTGTCTCCACAGTGCTGGGAATACAAGTGTGTGCCCCCATCCTGGGCTTTTTAACATGGATTATGGGGATCAAACTCAGTTGTACTTTACAAACTATACTATCTCTCTAAACTACCCAACACTCCCTCCCAACCATATAACTTAATATTTCTATATATCCATCTTATACAGCTTGGATCTAGAAATGTTACCCAATGGCTCTCATATTAAAGGTTTAGTCTGAACTTTAGCATTTTTTAAGAGATTGTAGAATTTACAGCCATGGGGTCTAGTGGGTCATTGGGGGAGGGGGATCTGTCTTTAAATTTTTTTTTATTTATGTGTATGTTTTGCCTACACGTATGTGCACTCTTGTGCAATGCCTGAAGAGGTCAGAACAGGGTGTCAGATTCCCTGGAACTGGAGTTTCAGATGATTGTTAGCTGCTATGTGGGTGCTGGGAATTGAACCTAGAGCCTCTGGAAGAGCAGCCAGTGCTCTTAACCTCTGAGCCATCTCAGCAGGGAGGGAGAGGGGGTATTTAAAAGTCTTTTTAAGAGGACTGTGGGACTCTGGTCTCTTATTCCTGTCTCATTCTTACATCCCAGCATTGAGCAGTTTTGCTCCTTTATGACTGCCACTTGGATGCTCAATGCCAACTTTGAAAAAAATACTTTCTCTGAGGTACACTGCCCTTAACCTAAAAATAGTAGTGATAGTCTAGATTATGCCTCACATCTAAAAGTTGCCGGCTTTGCTCTTTCATTCCATTAGGAGCTCAGTACCATGATGAGGTTCCTCTTCCACAGGCCTTGAAACAAGCCATCAACCAACCAGAGGCTGAAATATCCAGAACTGCCAAAATACACCTCTTCTTTATCTTGGCTGCTTACCTCCAGTCTATGTAATAGTGACATAAAGCTGATACCCTATAACTGTATGTCCTAGTTACTTTCTATTGCTGTGACGAAAACCAAGTTGGGGAGAAAAGGGTTTATTTGGCTTACACTTCACAGTCCATCATCAAGGGAAGCCAGACAGGAACTCAGAGCAGAAACCTGGAGCACAGACCATGCAGGAAGGCAGCTTACTGGCTTGCTCCTCTGGCCCATGCTCAGCCTGCTTTCTTACAGAATACAAGACCACCTGCCCAAGGGTGGTACTGTCCACAGTGGGTTGGGCCCTCCCACATCACTCAACAATCAAGAAAATGGCCCACAGACATGACCACAGGCCTGGAGGAAACTCCTCAACTGAGGTTCCCTCCACCCTGATGTGTGAAGTTGACAATTTAAGGTCTCCAGCACACTGATGTTTCCAACACTAATCAATTACCATATAGTAATGATATATTACTATATTCTCAAAAGAGGTTTTTTAATAGTCTTATGTACGGCCAAGTGTCTTCATTTCAGGATTTAATGTTCTACTGAACGTTATTTACCTTACCCACGCAATGGTTCCAGAGTTATCTGTGAGGCAAATTCCTTTAATTGTAATGTGACCCAGGGATCTGGAGCGCGCTCCCTCCCTCTTCTCTTAGTTCCTGGCTGGCCAGGAACTCACAAAGATCCGCCTGCTTCTGCCTCCTGAGTACTGGGACCAACTGGGTGCGCCACCACTTCCTGCCCGGAGGACCCCTCTAACTTGGTATCTCTGATTAACTAATACACTTCTCTATAAATAAGACCACTTGCCTAACTCAAGAGTATTCTTATAGCGAAGATGAAATGTCAGTATGGTCTGCAGAGAATTTCATATTAAACATTTCATTTACACTGTAAACGCAATGATTTAATGACAAATCTGAATCAATTCCAGAGTATCTTTCCGTTTTCCTTCAAAAAGCTGCACTGTCTGCTGGGTCTGGCGATCTTCACCCATCATTCAGTCACCATCGATCTGCTCGACCTCATTCTAACTGACTGGAGAGACTGACAGGAGGCGGGTCGCCAGGGCCTAGGTAAAGCGCAGTTGGTCTCGGCCTCTCGCCGGCGTCAGCGCCGGAAAGCAGGCCTCGGGCCGCAGCGCAAACCATGACCCGCACTCACCTTCCGCGCTGTCACGGGTTCGGCGGAAGTCTTCCGAGCGACCGTCGCGGAAGGCCCGGCACAGAGAGAGGCAGAGGAAGTCCAGCATCCAGCCAGCAGCCACCGCCTCGGCCTCAACCGCGAGCTCTGCCTCCTCCTCCTCCTCCGGGACCCCCAGCTGCATCCGGCACTCCAACTGCCCCGCATCATCTCCCGCCGTCTCCTTTATCTCCTCTGGGGACTCCGCATCTTTTCCGTCCCCACGCCCCCGCGCGCTCGGAAACGCTGAGGAAGCGGCCTCCGCCATGTTCAACTGCGCGCGGGTCGCGCTCCTCAGAGCGCCGCGCGCTGATAGGCTCCCGCTGGGGGGCGTGGCCTGGCCGCGGTGCGTCTTTCGCCCGGGAGAGTCAGCCAATCGCACCGCTAGGATGGGCGAGCGGCTCGAACTTGGCTGTTGATTGGCCGCGACCTCCTGGTGGGGGCGGATTGAATTTCTCGTCAGGCTGAGGCGGGGTCTTCCGGGTAGATTGAGCAGCCACTGACCGGAAGGTTAACGCTTTAAAAATGCAGCTCGTGCTGTAAAGGACAAGGATAATGGAAGCAGCGCGTTTTTCTTTCTGGATAGTTACAGGAAAGGAGATAGTTTACTAAAAGGGAGGTACAGAGAATCCTGGAGGTATCAGGCCACCTGTGACCCTGCTCCCATTGGGCAGGAAAGAACAGAAGCGCCAAGGTGAGGTCACTAGTGACTTTTTATGAGTCAGTAACATAGTGCCTGCCTCTCCCCAGTGCGTAAAATGGGGGCTTCACGGACCAAGCTCTCTTGGCTGAATGAAGCTAAGGGGGACTAAGGGTTGTCAGTTTTTTTCTTGCTGCCACTTTTTTATCCTGGAAGTTTCTCCTTTAGCGTTTCCCTGCCTCTTTCCCCCTGAGAGTTGGGTTCCCAAAAGTATTTTTGGAGCGCAAAAGGGTGATGATCAATCATCTTCTATAACTGCCAACATGTTGATGATGTGGTAGTCCCTGGCTAAGTTAAGAGGGACCATAAGACTTTCACCCTATTTTTTCTCTTGGTCTGAGAGACTTTGGATTTCTAATCTTAGAAGTTGGCTGGAACCCCTGTGGCGTAGGGAATTTAGTTTGAAATTGTTATGTACTCTAGAAGACCCAAATGTCACATGATTAAAATAAGAGTTTTAAGGAGGAATACCATGACTGTGCCTACCAATGACTTTAGAAAGGTGAAAGCCGGGAAAGCTGCGGCCATGTTGTTTCAGGAGAGTCATTCTTTCAAGCTTGTTAGGAATGTGATCCCCTGGATTGTTAAAAACAACAAAAAACACACTGATGGTTGTATGTTAAGAATGAGGCAAGATATAAAGAATTTGAAGAAACAATCTGATAGTGGAATAGATTAGAAGAAAGTGTTAGGTTGTAACCACTGAGTACAGTGTTGAAAGAGAAATAATGAAAACCAGAGCATAAAGTAAGGCTGCTCCAAGAACTCTTAAATAGAGTTTATCTTTGTATTATAGCTGGGACGCCTGTGATGTCTTAACTGGTATGTCAGTAGCTTAAACTAATACCCAGGATTTAACGGGAAGACCTTTATAAGGCCTGAATTAGACTTTAAATTAGACTTTAAAGTCTAGTTCAGCTTTGTTTTGTGTTACTTCAACTGTTTTGATCTTTGGTTATACTTTCCTGTTGGGTACTTAAGACCATGGAGGTAGCAAAATTTAAACATTATCTTTTTTTATTGTTAATACCAGTTAAGGGTTTTGTCCTTAAGGGTCATTTGGACTTGGGAGGAGCCCCTGCCTCCTCTAGCCTTTATTTTATCAGTTCATCTTTTGAGAATAAGTCAAAGGCCTTCTTTGACAGTGTCTTCGCTTGGAAGCATTCAGAAAAATTTCCTCTGTATTGACCTTCCTCCTTGAAGAATGGACTGGTTAGAATCCACTCCAACCATGGTCTCCTTGAATAAAAGAACCAGAGTTACAAGGAACATTTTGAGAGATGCCCCACTGATCCGTTGGATGTAGTTGACTTTGGAGGGCATCCCAAACTGGCTATGAAAGCATCATTCCCACAGGTCTATGTAAAAGAAGGCAAAACAAAATAGGGGTGAGGACAGGGTCAGGTAATGAGAGGGAATTTTCCATTTTATGATTTTTTAAAAATCACCCCAACTGGGTTTGGTGACACAACCTGTAATCCCAGCATTTGGCAGGTAGAGACAGAAGGATCAACAGTTCCTGGCTAGCCTCAGCTTCAAGTCTGAAGCCAGTCTGAACTACAGGAGACTGACTGACTGAATGAACGAACGAATGAATGAATGAATGAATGAATAAGTGAATAAAAGCCGTTGAATGTGATGAAATACACTTATCCCAATACTTGGGAGATTCAGACAGGAGAATTGCAAATCTCAGGCCAACGTGAGGCCTCGCCTGGAAATTTATCTTAGTACTAGAGTTTTTGCCTAGTATACCCAAAACATTAGGTTCAGTCCCCAGTACCATAACTAAATACATACATATAGCCATCCCTTTGAGTAAAATTAGGCAATTTTATATTCTTGCCAAGATCAGTTTGTATAGCAGTGTCCATAATTGCTGCAGTGGCTTTATCAAAGTTCACTAGTAGACTGTTACGAAGGGAGAGATACAGTCTGTTCTGTAATGATTTTAACAGCACAACTTGAAACCAAAGACTGCTGATGATGAGCGGCACATTTCAGTTCATATTCATGGGGTTTTGGGCCCTAAGGCTTTCCAACAATAGAACACTACTACCAGGCAATGGCTTCTCACCTCTAGAAGAGTTGATTATGGATGCCACCAGAGATCCTGTAGAAAGATTCCCATGAAACCTAGATAGCAAGCCCCATGCTGCTGTATTTCCAAAGAATGCTTTTACCTTGTACTGTTTCCCCAGGAACATTTTGAAATCCATCTCTAAAATTCTTATACCCACCATATTGAATATTTGTGTTTTTACTGTCAACTAAGGTTCTATAACCTGTGTTAAAGGCTCACTAAACCTTCATGGTTGTAGAGAGATGGAATGTTGTGGCTATCTTTAGTTCTGTTAATAGCCATGTCTTACCAACCTCTCTATATGACCTAATGTTTGTTTGACTATTAGGTTAAACTTGAAATGTATTAATTTAGCACATCACTAGCTTCTGCTAACCTTAGAGCTAAGAATGATACAGCACCTGAAACCTACAAGAGACATTTCTCTGAACTTGCTGTAGCCTTGCATACCTGTGCCTCTTCCCTGCATTTGATAAAAGCATTGATTTATGAGTATCTTTTAGTCTGTGACTATAAAAGTTCATGTAATGCGGGTGCTAGCCAGCCATGACGGACAGTACCTGAAAGGGGGAGTGAGGATTGAAAGAAAAAACAAGAGACAGAAAAGATACTTGGGAGGGATGACAGTAGTGACTGACGCCCCGGTTTATTTCAGTTCTGCCTTTTTATACAGAAGAACTCAATTCATTTCAACAGCTGTTTTTCCCACCTGTATCTGAGGGTGGTCAAATACTTCAAAGGCTTTTTTGATCTTTTTGTTTACCACTATTGCTTCCAGGTCGGATATTGTGAGACTCTCCATATAAACACATTCCTCCTGATTAGGCAGATTAGGTAAACACATTCCTCCTGATTAGGCAGATTAGGTACTGGTGTGCCTAACACAAACTCAGTAAACAAGCCTGCCACAGCTCAATGTACATAATAGACTAACAGCTCCCAACAATGTAACCTCTTCCACAGTACAACATGTCATTCAGGGCAACTTGGTCACTCATTTCACTCAGAACAAACTTTGGAGCAAGGACCGTATCTTGCACCAATATTACCCTTATCTGTCATTAATACAAACTAATAGCTTCCTTATGAATAGTTTGTATTGCTTAATTTTTTTGCATTCCTAAGTGTCTTATCAATATCTAAACTACAAATCTACTTTTGAAACATCTATTTTGATTATCTGCATTGTTCACATTTCTCTAGAGGACAAAACTGAGAATGAATATATATTACAAAGGAAATTTATTATATTGTTTTATATGATACAGCTGGGTGGTCCAACAATAGCCATCTGCACAGTGGAGAGCCTGAGAACTTGATAGTGGCTCAGTCTATGAATATGGATACTCCCAATCTGGTACTGGCAGCCTGGAAGAATCTTGCACAGCTACTGGCCTTCAGTCCATGTTGGAAGGCCAAAGAAGCTGGGCTCCAATGTTAGTGAAGCATGGCAGCACCAAGGTAGATGCACTCACCAGCAAGGAGGGAAGGTGAGCAGGCAGATCATCAGCTGTTTTCTCATTAGAATCTTTGTATCTAGGCCAGAAAGTGCTGACCACTTTAGGGGAGGGTCTTACCTCCAAAGTTAATTCTAGAAAATACCCTCACAGACCTGCTCAGAAGCATGTCTCTTAGTTGATCCAGATCCAGTCAGGTAGACAACCAAGATTAACCATTACAGTACCTCTTATGTGTTGTGTACTGAGCTGGAGTGGATCCTGGTAAGCCAAATGATGCTATTCTTCTCCATGAAGAACTATAGTTCTGCTTGGGAGACACATAGCCGTACTGTACATGAACATTAATCAATGAGTGGTGATAATCACACTCCTAATAGGACTTTGATTATTTAAGAGACTAAGCCAGAGAGATGTCTACAAGATTTGAGCAGAGGTGCACAGGGGAAAGACCTGCATTTGACTGATTTGTTTGTTGTTTTGTAGTGCCAAAAACCAATCATTTTTCTGTCCTCTCACACAGTTCTTACCTGTTCATCCAACTTCCTCATTTGGGTGTGGCAGACTTCATATTATCTGAATTTCTAAGGACAAGGCCACCCATTTCTTTGCTTTTAAAAATTTCTCCTGAGATTGTAAAACAAAACCAAAAATGATGGCTACCAAATCCCACAAATAAAATAAATCTCTCCACTTTGAAGTAGAGACTATAATATGATATTCAGAATATATTTTGGCTTTAGCCCATGTTTCTGGCTTGGGGCCTCTATAATCCTTGTAATTTCCTAAGTGACTAGAACAATAAGAGTATCTTTTATTAAAATATTTAGTCTTAAGTTTGACATGATAGCTTATACCTGCAATTGCAGCACTTGGGAGACTGAGGCATGAAGATCAGGAGTTTAATGCCAACCTTGGCTACATAGCAAGTTCAAGACCAATCTGAGCTACATGAGACCCTGTCTCAAAAGAACTAAAACAAACAAAAACCCACAAAAATATTTAGCTTTTGTCCTTGGTTCCTGGAGCAGGTCCAGAGCCATAAAAGTGAAAGAGCACTTCATTTCAAATAGCCCCTTTCAACTACCCAGGCACTCACGTTAATGTGATGAATTTTGCAAAGTCAAAACTTTGAATATGGGGCTAGGAGTCGGGGGAACAAACCATGTGCTCAGAGAACTTACAGCCCTATGTCCCATGTCCCAAGAGGGGAAAGGAGCTGAAGGTTGAGATGGTCACTAGTGACACATATTTTAACTGATTATGCCTACATATCAAGGTCTCCATGAAATCCAGCAGGACTGAGATAGGGGACTTCCAGGAAAATGAATATGAATATATCCACATGCCAGAGGGAAGAGTGACACAATCCAGCTCCATGGGGACTAAGATGCCTTTTTGGGTCTGCTTTATGTATTTCCTCAACTATCTTTTTATTTGCATCCATTTAGAATATCCTTGTCAGCCTGCATGATAGTGCACACTACTTGACCTGGCTTCTTGATACAATCAGAAGACCAGTAAACAGGAAGTATCTAAGGCTGCTACTGGCATAACATGCCATGAAATACTATTTTACAGTATTTTTTGTAAGTAGAAGCAGTACATTCTAAAATAATGATAAAAATATACCAAGTGGACATAGTGGTACACATTTGGAATCCCAGCACTGGAGGTGGTGGAGGTAGGAGGATTGTTGAGTGCCAGCCTGAGCTACTGCTAGGGGACAGGATGGATGGATAGAAGCACTTTATATTTTGTATTATAAAGACAAACTTGTACTCCATATTGTAAAAAAGAATTCACTACCATGATATTAATAGCTAAATATGTACACACTGTAACCGGTTTACTTGTTCTGAGCTACCCCTCCTCCAGCTCAGATGCCCTTGGAGGAATCAAGGTTGACAGTGGCAGGCACTACCTTAGACTCAGCACTTCAGTGCTGAGCCCAGACATCCACAGAATGAGGGAAGAGTTCAGGGGATGACAACAGGCATTGCAGACATATTACAAGTCTCAGAAGTGTGGCTGGCCACCTGACCATAGGGGTAAAACTAAGCTGCAAAGTCCTCCCTACCCCAATATAGTCTGCTGGATAAAGATGGGGTGGAAGGTAGGTTTTTTGTTTTTGTTTTTGTTTTTGTTTTTCCACAACTGTATCAACAGAAATACCAGGTTTAATAAGTGCCAAAGCCAAGAAAACCAACAATGCCAGATAGCGAATTTCTATGGCGCTGTTCTTTGAACACACCAGCAGGATGGAGTTGCTGAGTACACATACCATGCAAGGCATGGAAGGTAGCTTTGAGGGTGTTAATCTGCTGCCTTCTCAGACTGACAGCTCTCTGAATAAAGCACAATTTAAAGTTTTCATTCCTGTCACTGCTCATTGGCTTTGCGGCGATAGGCATCACAAGCTCTCTCATTTGGTTACACTACACAGTGTGTTCTTGTCTCTAAAATAAAAAAAAAGTATAGCATAGAAAATATATAAACCAGTAACACCATCATTTGTTATCAGGTATTATGGGATATAATTCTGTGTGCTAAACTTTTATGTGACTGGCAGTAGGTTTTTTTTACATCAGTATCACCAGAAGCTCATGAGTAATGCCTTCCTTCCATTATGCCATTACTACAGCTATGGCAGCAATAGGTCACAAGAAATTTTCAGCTCTTTTCAGCTCTCTTACAATCTTAATGCTATGACCTTCCTAAACATATGTCCATCATCGGCTGAACTGTTACGCAGTGCATGGCTGTAACTGGAAGATTTCAGAATTCAGTCTCCATGAACATTTTAAGCCTTTATTTAAGAAAACTACCTTCTGGTGTATGCCTTTAACAAGTCACTGATTAGCCAATATTTTTAATAAAATGCATCTGCCAAAATTGAAAGTGATAACATGTGGGAATAAAATAATGTGACTTTGAACTTCTGGAACCTGGACAGGGAACCTGTTTCTATCATTTTCTCCCTGGAAACAAACCAACCCAGGATGAAACAATACATCCTGCTGATGTTTTCTACGCCTGGATAGAAAGATAAGGGGAACTATATTGATCACAACAGCAGAGTCTCTATTTAATAAAACAGCACAAGAGCCACATGCATAATTTTTTGTGTTTTAGGCAAAAGGTTAAGTAAAGGAAATCAAAATTTAAAAGGTAAAGTATGCCTTTAATCCCAGCACTTGGGAGGCAAAGGCAGGCAGATCTCTGTGAGTTCAAGGCCAGCCTGGTCTACAGAGTGAGTTCCAGGACAGCTGGGGCTACAGGGAGACCCTGT